GATTACACAAATATAAAATCATTTCAAAGAATGTAGCTACCAAAAATAAATAATAGCACAGATTTTGAGGCATAGAAGAAATAGATGTTAGATACCTCACATATTCCTTACCCCTAGTTCTTGGAAGAAGACAATCCGCCAATGAGCTATGGTTACACCACTGTCCATACGAACAGCATTCCCAGGATTAACATCAGACAAACAAGAATGCTCACAGAACCTAGAGGAATGAGTAATATTAAGTTTTGAACGTAAAATTGTTTGTGTAGCCAAAAGATCCAGAAACATATTCAGTTATATCTAGTAGAAGGAATATTGATCACATCCCTTCTAAGTATTATCATTAATTGATGTATCTCACAGCAATTAGTATATCCTTCATCAGAATACAAAGCAAATAATTCTTATCTCAAGCTATAAACTCTATACTATCTAGTCAGCAATGGAACCTTTATCCGGTGATCAAAAACAGAGTAAGCAGGATATTTAAGCTAAATTTTACCGTGCGTAAAGAAACTTCCCATGATGCTTTCCCATGAATCTGGTTTGTTAAGTATTTCTCTGTAATAAGAATTTTATGTAGAAAAGAGAAATCTACGAGTATCTTCTCTTTGGTTTAAGACCTGAAATCATGACAATAGTATTAGTATTGATATGATCTGTCCTTCTATTCAAATATGTAAAGCAAAAAGGTCATAGACAGACATGAGCTCAGAGTAGATAATAAGGCATATGCAGCTCATATTGCATTGATATAGTCATTTCATTAGAAGGTATTTTATGAAATTCAACCATTTCAAAGCTTAGAAATTAGTTCTAGCACTTGATCCAAAAAGCTAACGAAAAACTATCTAGTACCCAATCAGTATTTTGATTAGGTTCTGCTCTACAAGCAACAAGAATAGGCACTCCTCCTGGCCTAACAACTTTTCTATAACTATGCTGATGAATGGTATCAACTCTGAATACAGATACAAAAGTGAAACACATGGTAATTAATAAAATCCAGAAGGAAAGAAAGGAAATCACATGTCAACCTATATCAAAACTCATCCAAGTCATTAAAAATTTGAAAAGTCTTAACTCTGTCATAAGGAAAGGAAAATTTTGAATTTCTGTTTAATGAAAGACTTAATAAACTTAGGACAAAGAGAAAAATCATATTTTGGGAAGTTACTAACAAAATGTCATCTTTTACTTGAGACAAGGTCAAAAATTATATTCTTAATAATGATCTAGAACTGTTATCACCTGGCATTTGCCCCTCCATTTCTTAAATGTACAAAATAAATTCACAATTATACAGTTTTAAAATGAACTTTGACTGCATATCACTCTCTTTCAAATCATTAACTTATGCCAAGATATTCAAATCAAGGAGTAATTTTCTGTTAAAACTTTGTACTTTGTCAAGCATATGAAAAGGAAAACACTCATGGTGAGGCAAGAAAAATTAAAGTACATTTCCACCCAAATACAATAGACTAAGAGCTAACGCAAAATTTAGTAAAGCACCCAACTAGAAGAACAAAAGCAAGGTTGAACATACGATAGCTTGCAATTTCAGCATTTTAGTCACTTGGGAAGCTGATATGGCAGACAAGGTTTCGAACTCTTTAGACTATTAAAAAGAAAAACAAAAATATAGAAAGCACTTATCTTTAGTTCATTCTGCAAATTTTGCAATAATTTGTTTCCTATCTGAAACGAATCACATCTATAAGAAAATATTGCTCGATTTACCAGATTTAAAGTTCACATTTTAAAAAAAAAACGAGAAGAAGAATCAATACCAGCTGTAATAAAGGGAGCCTCAAACAAACCAAGGCATTTCCTAACTTATTCTATAATATAATTTAATGGTGGAATATTGCTTACGGTAAACACTGATGGTATCAACATCTGCTTCTTAAAATCAGGCACTATCTGCTCAATCTCGGTAATCATTAGCGATGGTCGGTATAATTGAACATTAGGTAAACATTTTCATGCGTAGAATTTACTATAATCCTTTTACGAAATGTGTAATTGGAAATACCATATGCACATCCAATGGACTATCTGTTATGGGGCACAATGAACAAACAACATTTCAATTAAGCATCAACCTTCTCTAGTAAGCCATTTCAATTTAAGCAGAAACCAACTTATGTTCCAACACAAAAATATTGTAATTTACTTTAGAAATCAAAATAGAGATCTCCGGTTTACTTAACAGAGAGTGAGCCGTTATACCACCAACCTACCCCAAAAATTAAGAAGCAAAATAATTAGCTACAAGAAACAAATTGAAAGGAACTCCATTTCTTCGGAAAGTGACATCGAAAGGCCACTCATACATATGCTTTGCCAAGAAAATACCGTCTCTTACCCAGTGTGAAAAATCTCAAATGTACTCCATAATTGCCAATTACTCCTTACAATCTTCATCTAGTCCCACTCTCGCCATTTTGTATTTAGGTTAAGAAAATAGCAAAAACTTTTAGAGAGGGCCTTTTTTTTTCCTATAGAGTCAAAGTGGCAAGACGTCAAAAAACAAGAAGGCAAAGAAGAAATAGAATAGAAGAATGTATTTATATTTGCACGAACTTAGATTCACAGTTAAAACAGAGCCAAAGATAAGAAATCTAATAAGGAAGAGAGAGAGGAACCGATGAAAATATTTACCGATAGCGGAATTGTCAATGATTTCGCTGGGTCACAGCAAAGGGATAGAGGATCCAAAATTTCGCAGCCGATGTTGAGAAGTGTATTCTAGAAAATGATTTTGGGGGGTGTTTGCTCTCGTTTGTCTAGGGTTTATTTTTTGACCTTTCATTTTAGTTTTAAAACCAAAAGAAATAGTGGCGATTTTGCTGCCACAATAGATGGGTGTAGTTAGAGGCAGCTACGAGGTCGCTACAACTACCTCATATTAGTGGCGACAATTCATCTGTCGCCACAAAAGAGTCTTTAGCCCAAATTTAATTTTTTAGGTGAGGAAAAATTTTGATTTTAGTTGCACCTATTTGTGGCGGCTCTGTTTTTATCGCCACTAATATGTTACTTAATGTGGCAACTATCAAGGTCGCCACTAAAACCCTTAGTATTGTAGCAACTTCTTTCGTCGCCACTAAAAGTTGCCACTGAAAATCGTATTTCTTGTAGTGTTCAACAAGAAAGATTAAGGACTGTGAAGAGATAAAAATCAGAACCAAGACATTTTTTTCTTTCTTATTCTTTGACTCTTTCTTGGTTCTATTTGTATATTGTCACTTTTTATTTACTTGTAGTAATTTCAGAATGTGACAATCTCTATGCATTATTACCACTTTCATTTGGTTCAGTCATTTCCTCATCAACAGTGTTATCTAAAAATTTATTTTCAATAAATTCAACATGAATAGATTCTATTATAACATTAGATTTTAGATCCAACAATCTGTATGCCTTTGAATTTTATGCATATCTAACAAAAATACTTTTAATTCCTCTAGGACATAGTTTTGTTCTTTGGTGATCATGAACTCTATAGAATGATATACACCCCCACACTTTAAAATAATCTAAATTAGATTTTCTATTATTCCAAAGTTCATCTGGTGAAACATGTAAGCCCTTTGAAGGTACACTATTTAATATGTGACAAGTTGTTAAAAGTGCATCACCCCATAAATTATGTGGTAAATGTGCATTTATTAACATAGCATTAATCATATCAACTAAAGTTCTATTTTTTCTTTCAGCCAAACCATTTTGTTGTGGTGTATAAGGAGCACTTGTTTGATGTATCAAACCATTCTCTTTGCAAAACTTATTCAATTCAGAGGAAAAATATTCTCCACCTCTATCACTACGAGGAATCTTAGTTTTAGTATTTTTTTTATTTTTCACAACAGATTTATATTCTTTAAACTTCTGAAATGCTCATCTTTAAGCAAGTAAACATATGTGAATCTAGATTAATTATCTATAAAAGTAATAAAAAATTTTTTGCCACATCTGGTTAACATTCCATTTAGTTCACATATATCAGAATGTACTAAGTATAACAATTCACTAAATCTTTCAGTTTTACGAAAAAGGTTTCTTAGTCATTTTTGCTTGTATACATATTTCACATTTTTTCACATGATCATGCTTGCAAGAAATATAGCCGTTTTTGGACATATAATTTAACAAACCAAAATTCAAGTGTCCTAATCTAGCATGCCATAAAGAAGAATTAGACTTAACAATATAAGCAGAAACATAGTTTATTGCATTAATACTAAGCTTGAGCATGCCATCATAGGTATAGACCTTTCCAACAAATAAACTATTCTTAAATACTATTACATGATTAGATTCTATGACTATCTTGAAGCCTCTCTTAGATAGCAAACTAGCAGACATCAAGTTCTTCTTCATATCGGGAACATGGTACACATTCATGTCGGGAACATGGAACACTTTTAGAAATGTTAGCTTTTTCCTAGAAGTGAAATTAATCTCAACACTTCCTTTTCCTGCAACATCTGCAGTCATATGATTTCCATGAGAACCTTCTATGGTTCCTTCACTTTTGTATAAGTTTTGAACATATTCTTCTCATAACAGACATGAACGGTGGCACCCGAATCCAACCACCAGTCTTGACTCTTAACAGCAACAACAACCATGTTTTATTCTGTAACCATATTACATGGTACTACAGAAACCATTGCAACTAAGCCTTGTGAACAACTTTTAACTGTGTTTGCTTTTGCTTTCTCAAAATTTTCCGGGTTTCCAGAATTTCTATGGTTAAAGTTAATTCTTGCTTTCTTAAACCTGCAGTCACAGATCTTGTGGCCTTTATTTCCACAATGATAAAATTTCAAATAATTCCTCTTTTTAAATTGAGGCTTATTGGAAACTTTCAGATTTTGGTTTCCATCTCCTTTATTATTCTGACTAACATTATTAACTATGGAACTCGAAGGTTGCATAAAAGCATCACGAATACGAGTCTCACTTTTAATTTGAATGTGAGTTCGAAACTATTCCACAGTCAATTTCTCAGAAGAATGCATGATTTTCTTTCTATAGTCATTCCAAGAACAAGGCAGTTTAGAAAGTATAGCACTTATTTGAAGTGCATCAGGAATTTTAACATCAAGATCAGTTAGTTTTGAAACTAAGATTTTCAATTCATGAATCTGATCCATAATGGGCTTTGTATCCACCATTTTAAATTCAAAGTATTGCAAAGACAAAGATTTATCAATACCTCGTTTTTCGTTTTCATAAGTAGTCTGCAACGCCATCCAGATTTCTCGTGGAGACGTCAAATTTTGATACCGATCATAGAGACGATCTGTTAATGTATTCAGAATATGTCCCCGGTAGAGCAGTTCATCATCTTCACGTTTATTTCTCTTTGCTTTCACATCTTCAGAATCCTCTAGAGTGGGGTCTTGTAACGATCTGACTGGTCATTTTGCTTTTTAGAACCCCGTTCCCTTAAATAAGACTTTCTATGCGCGCTTTTACTAATTTATGACTTGCATGGATGGATAGTTCGAGATTTGGAAGGGTTCGTGTTGAAATCAGAACACTTGGTTCCTTATGTTGGCCTTAAAAGGCTAAGTTTGACTTCGATCAACATTTTGAGAAAACAGCCTTGGAATCAGGATTTGATGCTTCCAATAGGTTTGTATGATGATTTCGGACTTGGGCGTACATTAGGATCGGGTTTTGGATGACCCGGGAGCATTTCGGCGCCTAATAGTGAAAGTTGGTTCTTTGAAGGTTTTTGAAGTTCTTTAAATTTGGTTTGGAGTAGGTTTTGGCTATATCGAGGTCCAAATGGAATTCCTAGACTGGGAATAGTTCCATAATGTCATTTAATACTTTTACGCAAAAGTTGGTGTCAATCCGAATGGTCTAAGTATGATTCGAAGTGTTCAGAGCGATTTAGAAACTTGAAGATCAAAGTTTGATCCAATTTGGTTTTGGGGTGTGATTCTTGGTTTTGTTGTTGTTTTACGCATTTTGAGAGTTCGAGCAGGTCCGTATTATAATTACGGACTTGTTGGTGTAGTTGGACGGGGTCCTGGGGGGCTTGGGTGTGTTTCGGACTGCCTGGAGCTAAATTTGAGAAACCAAATTTTCCAGTTCTGGTTTCCTTCTTCGGGAACACGGGAGGGCCATTGCGTTCGCGAAGAAAGATTTGGGGTAGTGGGCAAATTGCCCTTCCCGTTCGTGTTCAGGCTCACGCGTTCGCAAAGCCATGAGATCCTAGGCCTTCGTGTTCGCGAACCCCACTCGCGTTCGCGTAGGGGAAATGGGGTCGGGGAGGGCCAGTGGACTTTGCTCTTTGCGTTCGCGAAAGAGCTGTCGCATTCGCGATGCTCAATCAGCGTAGGCCTTCGCGAACATGAGGCTTCTTCCGCGTTCGCGAAGAAGGCCATCACAGCTGGGCAGAAGCTTGTTTTAAATACGGGACTTAGGCATTTTTCTCTCATTTTTCACACACTTGGGTGATTTTAGAGCTTCAAAAAGGGAGATTTAAACCTAGCTATTGAGGGTAAGTAATTCCTACCTAATGTGAGTTTAATACATAGATTATGGGCAGATTTTAACATGTAAATTGTGGAATTCATGGGTTAGATGAAAAACCTAGGTTTTTGATAAAAATGAGATTTAACCACGATATTTGTTGTGGAATTTGGTAAAAAATCATATATTTGAGTTCATGAGGATATGGGCAGAAACTTTCTTTGAAAATTTTCGGAATCCCGGGCATGTGGGCTCGGGGGTGAATTTTAGGAACCTTACATTTAGGGTTGGTTAATCACTTAAATAGTTGTAATATGAACTTTTGAACATGTATTGATTAGTTTATACATTATTTAAATAGTTTTGGATTGTTTGGCACCGTTTTGAGGGTTTGAGCATAATCTTGGACTGGAAAGTAGGCTTTGAGGCGAGGTAAGTCTCTTTTCTAACCTTGTAAGAGGGAATTAATCCCATAGGTGAATTATAACTAATATGTGCTCATATGTGTGGGGGCTACGTACGTACGAGGTGACGAGAGTCCGTACGTAGCTACTAAATATGCTATTGTCCGGGTAGTCTAGGACCCATACCATGCTATATTTGAAATGTTTGCAACCCTTCTTGTTAATTTAATTGCTTAACTCATATTGGGAGTTGATAAAGGAATTGTAAAAGGTTAAATGCACTTACTTGAAGTTGTGAATGGAACACTTGACTATAAATGAGAATTTGTATTTTATTTAAATTATTCTCTATTTGTGGAGCTGGCCGAACGCCTCGGTAGTAGATAGATGCATCTACGGTTCGTGCCGTTCGACCCTCGGCAGTGTACGATTTAAATATTATGTTGGATTGTACCGTACGACCTCTAACTTGCGCATGATAAATCTTTGGAACTATCCATAATTGATATTGCTTAAATGCCTTGAGATACAAACTATTAAGTGATGAAACTAGACTTAGGACTTAATATTTGCGAAAGAAGAATTTACTATTTTCCGTTTTTGAGCTTTCAATATTATTCATGAAATCCATGCTTAGTATATAATTTTGATATATCATTGTTAGCCCATAGTAAGTGTCAAAGTCGACCCCTCGTCATTCCTTCTTCGAGGTTAGACTAGATACTTACTGGGTACATGTTGTTTATGTACTCACGCTAAACTTCTGCACTTAATTGTGTATGATTTGAGGCAGGTACATCCGGCTACCAGTTCGGCGCACATATTTGATCCCCGCTACGAGGCTACACGGTGAGTTGCCCTTCCGAGCCGTTCTGCAGCAGCCGGAGTCTTTCTTTTGTTTATTTTTTCTGTCTATTGCATTTCAGATAGTAGATTAGAAATCTTTTATGTATTCTAGTAGTAGCCCATATACTTGTGACACCGGGTCTTGGCACACACTAGTAGACTTATGATTTTGGATTGTATTTCTATGGTTATGTCTGCATTTAGCTACTTTCGTTTTTATTGCCTTAAATCCGTTATCCATTGAATCCTTTAAATTAAGGAAAATTAGTTGCTTGAAAAACTTATTAAAAATGGAAATCACTAGATTATTCACTATTGGCTTGCCTATCAATGGTGCTGGGCGCCATCACGGCCTAAGCTAGAATTGGGTCGTGACAACATGGTATCAAAGCTCTAGGTTCACGTATGTCTCACAAGTTATGGGCAAACCTAATAGAGTCTTGCGGATTGGTGTGGAGACGTCCATACTTATCTTCTAGAGGCTATACGGTGTTAGGAAACTGCTCCTTTTTCATCTCCTATCGTGCAGTTGATGGTGTACTAAGTTTCTTTCTCTTATTCTATCACAGATGGTGAGAACCCGTACGGCCGATGTTTCAGACCCGGGAGGAGCTGCTCCCCTTGTTGCTAGGGGCCAAGGCAGAGGCCGAGGGAGGGAACCAGCCCGATGTAGGGGACGAGGATGCCCCAGAGTTGTTCGAGTTGCACCACCAGCAAATCTAGTGGAGGATCCTGTCATTGAGGAGCAAGGCGAGGTGCCCGAAGCGGAGCCAGCCCTGGTCGATTTCATGTCAGCACTTGGCTTTCTGGAAGTCATGGGCCGTATGTTGCGATTCATGGATACTATGACCCAGGTTGGTTTATTTCCAGCAGACCCAACCATATCTGAGGTGGGAGGGGGAGCACAGACCCCTATTGCTCAGGCTCCTGGGCATGCAACTGCTGTATATCAGACCCTGGGCGAACTACCCGTGGGCGGGGCCCATCCAGTAGCAGCAGTCGTACCTGAGCCTAGACCAACTGCAGCTGGTGATCACATAAGCTATTGGACAGATAGACTAGGCTACACCCTCCTGTCTTTGGAGGTGAGCGACATGAGGTTCCCCAGGACTTCATTGATCTGTGCAGGGACAAACTGCACAACATGAGGATATTGGAGTCCCATGGGGTGGATTTCACTACTTTTCAGTTGGAGGGTAGGGCCCGTAGATGGTGGCTGTCTTATCTTTTTGGCTGACCAGTAGGTTCTCCTCCCATAACTTGGGACCAATTCACACGCCTATTCTTGGATAGGTATATTCCACCCTCTCAGAGGGACGAGTTGCGGTTTCTGTTTGAGCACCTTCAGAAGGGTCATCTGTCTGTGATAGATTATGAGGCAAGATTCTCTGAGTTGTCTCGCCATCCACTGATGATACTTCCTACTAAGGCGGAGCGAGTGCGGAGGTTTGTTGCGGGGTTGCACTCAGGTTTCAGGCTATTATGGCCCGGGAGGTTGAGATGGGTACTTCTTATTAGCTAGTTGTGGAGATAGCTCGGAGGATTGAGGGCTACCGTCAGAGGGGTAGAGAGCAGATGCAGTGGAACAAGAGGTCTCGTTTATCTGGGGAGTTTAAAGGTCCCCCGGCTGGGGGCAAAGGTCAGTTTGGGAGGGGTCAGCCTAGCAGGCCCACATATCCAGCACAACTACCTCCTTGGGGTGCTCCGGTGTGACCCTATTTCACCACCATTCCAGAGAGTTCTTACCGCCCACCAGCAATTTAGGGTTCATCTAGTGGGTACTCGGGTCATCAGGGTTCTTCCAATGCTTACTTCAATGCCATGCCAGAGAGTTTATACGGCCCACCAACTGTTCTGGGTTCTTCTAGTGGGTATTCAGGCTATCAGGGTCAGACTTCAGGGTAGCAGATCACCACACCGAGAGATTGTTTTGAGTGCGGAGATCTCAATCATGTGCGGAGATTCTGTCCCAGGCTTCGGGGCAAGGCACTACAGCAGGGCCAGCCGCCAATGATTACAACACCAGCTGTCCGGCCGCTCAGAGGCGGAGGGCAGACGGATAGGGGATGTCCTAGAGGTGGAGGCTAGGCAGGGGGAGGTCAGCCAACTACCATTCAGTTAGGCGGAGGCCAGCCAGCCATCGCTCCAGCCAGATTTTATACCTTTCCGACCAAACCAGATGTAGTGGCTTCAGATGCCATGATCACATGTATTATTTCTGTCTGCGGTAGGGATGCTTCGGTATTATTTGATCCAGAGTCCACCTATTCATATGTGTCATCTTTGTTTGCTCATTTCCTGGATATTCCTTGTAAGTCTTTGGGCACTCCTGTTTATGTGTTCACTACTGTGGGAGATTCTATCATTGTGGATCGGCTATCAGTCCTGTGTGGTTACATTCAGTGGTTATGGGACTAGATCGGACCTTCCGTTGCTTGATATGACCGGCTTTGAGGTCATCCCGGGCATGGACTGGCTATCCCCATATCATGCCATCCTTGATTGCCATGCCAAGACTGTTACTCTGGCGATGCCAGAGTTGCTGAGATTGGAGTGGAAGGGTTCATCTGTCAGTACATCTAGTCGGGTCATCTCTTTTCTGAAGGCTTGATACATGGTCGAGATGTGTTGTTTGGTTTATCTAGCTTATGTTCGGGATACTACCGTGGAGACTTCGACGATTAATTCAGTGGCAGTAGTCCGGGAATTCGCTGATGTATTTCCTTCTGACCTTCCAGGTATGCCACCATATCGTGATATCTATTTTTGTATTGACTTGGCTCCAGGTACCCAGCCTATGTCTATCGCACGTACTGTATGGCTCCGAAAGAGTTGAAGGAGTTGATGGAGCAGCTTGAGGAGTTGCTAGCAAAGAGGTTCGTCAGGCGAAGTGTGTCACCTTGGGGTGCACCATTCTTATTTGTGAAGAAGAAAGATGGGACCATGCGGATGTGCATTAATTACCGCCAGTTGAACAAAGTTACCATTAAGAACATGTACCCGTTGCCGCGTATTGATGATTTGTTTGACCAATTGCAGGGTGCTAGGGTGTTCTATAAGATCGACTTGAGATTAGGGTACCATCAGTTGAAGATTGGGGACTCGGATGTCCTGAAGACTGCTTTCCATACTAGATATGGCCATTATGTGTTTCTAGTGATGTCCTTCGGCTTGACTAACGCCCCAACGACATTTATGGATTTGATGAACAAGGTTTTCAGTCCTTATATTGATTCGTTTGTCATTGTCTTCATTGATGACATTTTGATCTACTCGCGTAGCATGGAGGAGCACAAGCAGCACTTGAGAGGGGTACTTCAGACCTTGCGGGAACAGAAGTTATATGCTAAGTTCTCCAAGTGTGAGTTTTGGCTAGATTCTGTGGCATTCTTGGGGCATGTTGTATCAGGCAAAGGTATCAAGGTGGATCCCAAGAAGATTGAGGCAGAGTTGGCCTCGTCCCACTTCGGTGACCGAGATCAGGAGCTTCTTGGGGTTACCAGGGTATTATCGCCGATTTGTGGAGGGCTTCTCATCCATTGCAGCACCTTTGACTAGATTGACTCAGAAGGGTGCTCCGTTCCGTTGGTCCAATGATTGTGAGGCGAGCTTTCGAAAGCTCAAGACAACTTTGACTACAACACCAGTTCTAGTGTTGCCTT